GTGTTGCTGACTGACTTGCCAGCTTTTCGGCGGATGGTGAAGGTGATCAGCTCGTGGTCGCTGTCACCCAGCTTCCCATCGATCACTAGGTCGCCGACTAGGTCATCCCCAGTAGCCAGCACCAGGTCGAGCAGCGCTTTGCCTCTCGTTGGCCCATAGACTTCTTGAGTCAGGTAGAGGCCATCCACGCATGAGAGGAAGCTCTGCGACCGCTCAGATTTTGCTGAGCGATCCTCCCATGAGATGTCTGAGTAATTGAAGTCACCCATGACAACCATGGTCCTGGAGCATGCGGCCTCAGCCAGTTCCCGGGCAAACTCCTGGTCAAGCTCAGGACTTCGGGTGGGAGGCCTCTTGTGGCAAACAGCAATAAAACCCCACCATAATAGACTGAGGATGTTATGGCAGCACACACACAGAGGACTGGAGGGTGCTGGAGTGAGAATACCCTTACTTACTTGGATGGGGTCTTCCAGCCAGCATCCATCTGGGGTCGTAGGGGGCTTTGGTAGGGACAAAATCAATCTCTCTTTCTATGGGGTCACTTATGGCGGTAGCAGGCACTGGGCTGTGATTGTCCTATAAGAAAAAAGATTGCTAATCCTGCTTGACCATAACGCCATGGCCCATCCTGCTGGAGGAGCTCTTTGTTCCCTCCCCACCCCGCTCCAAAGCTGCGTAGGCTGTTACAGACAGATCCCTAACCCTGACCCATTTCCTGGAGAGTCACTACCTGCATAGACAATATTTAACATGACTAAGGGTAGGTGGGACCACTGCACAAGTCTACTAGGCATGGCTCTGCACGTGACCACCCCCATTTAGGCCTAGTTTATTATAGAGGGGCAGAAAAGCCTGCAAGGCGGCAGCTCCCCAAGGCACATCAGTACCCGTAACAGTGCTAAGGAGCTACTTGGCGTGGTTTCTGAGGGCCCAGGGAGTCATACTGGCGATGATCAAGCAGAGTAGCCACTACACTGCCGTCCTGTTGTAGCCACCTACCTTTGGCATGTATGAAAGCCACTGTAAGACAGTATAGACCCCCTCGAAGTCATCCGGGACAGTGACATGGGAAACACCATTATTATACATGATGTGCACACCTCCCAGCTGGTTATTGGATGTGTAGACTTCACGCCCCAGGACCTGGTTGAAATCATCCATAGACAAAGTTTATCACCCTTTCCTAAACTGTAGGTCTTTTCCCTAAAGCGCCTTACATCTGTTCAGTTAGACCGGTACATACTTCTGTGCATTGTAAACTGGCTTCCCTCCCTCACAGAGGCCACGGGACTTCCTTGCATTTAATTTGAACCTGCTCTAAACTGACTGAAGCTAAACTGAAGCAAGGATCCTCGTTTTTTTTAAAAATTCACATGTTAAGTGTGTCCACTACTGCTTTTTTGGATTGGTTTGGCTACATGAGTTTAAAATCACACCTGAAGTCAAACTGGGCTGGCAGAAAAGCCCACAAAATATGCAGTTCTTTGGACTAGACAATGGAGTTAGGGACTGGGAACATGTTCTGCTCCCAGCCAGAATACCTCTCATATCTCTCAACCTCTGTCGCAAAGACCCCATGGTGTGTGGGTTCACATCGGCCCAGCTCTTTCAGAGCTGTCAGTCACTACTAAGTAATGATTTATAATGCTCTCATTCAAACAGATATCTTTACTTTAATTTTCCTACTGGTTTCTTCTTTGCACAAATACTATGAATTCATTCAGTTTAAAAATTGCCATTTCTAGACCACAGTGGAAATTGTAGGAGAGAAGTGTTACGCGTCCAATTAAAAAACCTAAAAGCTCTGGAGGTGGGAAGAGGGTAAACCTTTCTTGGGTTGCAAAGCAGCACAATGACTCAGCACCAGAGAAGACAGTTCCTAGGGGATAAGTCAAGTAACGGGTATAACTAGATTATTCATTACCTTATTCAAAGCCTTGGTTCCAGTGAGAATGATGTAGGAATTCTCCACCTGTATGACTCGCTGGCCCAGCCTCGTCAAATAAGCACCAATTCCTATGGCACGACAGGTCACCTAACAGACACAGAACTGAAGAATTACTAACACAGAGCGATGTAATTGTGAACGAGAGTCAACAGCACTCTGCATTTTCTCATCACCCAGGTGGAAAGATAATTCAGAAACTGCACTTTTCATCTACATGCTCTCAGCATCACAGTCTAAGTGACCGAATGACATCTGTCCATTCTGACGCTGTAGCTTCCCAGCTGCCAATTTATAGCAGGCTATTCTGTTTTTCTTCCACTGAATAATGCATGTGTTGTAGCAAACTGCTGGGCTTTTAGTTTAAAAAGCCAGTCCTAAGCGGTTTGCAACTTTGAGAACTTCTGAACATTGATGCTTAAGCCAGTTCAAGAAGCCTCCACATCCTGTATTTTTCTCCGTTTTCCTTGACTGAGTAGGAGTCACCTTGTTGAGCTCCCAAATATGGCTTGGAAAGCAAGTACCAGAGGGGCTGTGCATCCTAGACAGGAAACAAGGTGAAAAGCTCACAGGACGAAACAGTACGTAGAAGACAGCAAAAGCCCTACCATGCTAATGGTCACAATTTCATCGTATGCACGAGAGCTCTCCCCAGCAATGGTGCCAGCAGCTCGCAGGTTCTCCACACCCAGTCCTTCCTCTTTGCCAATGATATCTGTGAGGATGTACCTGTGGGAAACCAGGAGGGACATTGTAGAGCAGGTAAGATCAAAGATGGCGGTAGTTTTTGCAAGTTAATGCAAGGAAGGCACTGGGCTGAGCCCTGGAGACCTGAATTTGAATCCTGGCTCTGCCGCACACTGGATTCATGATCCTGGGGAAGGCACTTCTCCTTTTTGTGCCTTACTTCCCTCCACCCCCAAGAGGGGTGGATTTGAGGGAGCTAAAATATGAAGCCTCTTCCCTGAACTCCCAAGAGCTTTGTGGGACAGAAACCTCAGCAGCTCTCAGCCACCAAGCTGGGGCAAGCCAAAGACAGCTGAATGCATGGGTGCTTGAGCAGGCCAAGAAACAAGCCCTGTCCACTGGCTCCACACATTTGTGGAGTAGGTTTGGAGGGGCTACAAATGCAAGGCCTACCACCACGCAGGGGCTCTCCCAAGTCAGAGCAGTGCTGAGGCATGTGCTGGTACCTGCTATGAGCTGTCCACTGCAAACATACAGTTGGGTCAGACGAACGTCCAAGCCCACTGGGAGACAGTGCAGATGTACCAACAGGCACCTCCTAGCCATTACCCTAACCCCCCCACCTCTAGCTCCATTTCTGGTGGGTCAGTACACTCCTGATAACTGAGGGGTGATAGCTCTGCCTGTTGGAAACTGCAACCAGCTACAGGCGCCCTCACAACTAGGTTGGCATCCCCGTTTTCTTTATTAAAGAACATTATGGATGGTGTTGGTCTACAGGATGTCCACTGGGTCTCCATGAGCAACAGAGTGCTTGATGGCAGGGCACTCTGAAAGGCACTTTAAAGGCAGCTAGCAACCGTGACAAGCGGCTCCTACACAAATGCAGACATTTTGCAAGTGTTCGGTCTCTAATAAGAAATCCCGGGATGGAGAAACCAGCTAGCAGGACTGACACCCTTCCCTGCAGGGGAACATCCACTTGGAGCATTGTCCTTCCTCCTGGCACTGATGCCCACATGCCGGATTCACAGAAAGGTCAGGCTAGGAGTGCCCTCCAGAGATCATTTAGTGCAGCCCTCGATGATCTAAATGTAGCTAGACTGTTCCCATCAGGTGCCTGCCTAGACCACGCTCATGAGCCACCAGTGAAAGTTTGTCACACCCGCCCGACGCTTCACTATCTTCCACTTCACTAGCCTCAGCATCTGGGAAATGTTCCTAACATATCATCCGCAGCTTCTTTCTTGCCTATTAAGCCAATTTGTTCTTGCCCTTCCCCCAGCAGACACGATCTTTAATTGCCCCCCATCTCTTCATAACCTGCTTATGCGTTGGCTGACTTCTGTTACAGAGAAACATTATCCCCATGAACCTCTGCCCACAAAGAGCCAGTTTTCCTTTCCAAACCAGGATAAGACACTGCCTTGAGTTTCTTTTTATTCACCTGGACTCTCCTCCTTCCTCCACATGCTCACAGTGCACTGAGTTCATGGAGCTGATCCTCGTGTAGTCCTGCGGGGTCAGGTACAGGTACTTGAACCCCTTCGAAGAGAGAGGGAGAGAATTAGCTCATTCTTTCACACAGGCAGCTTGCTACCCCCCAAGAGCTGGAGTCAATTGTGGTACAAGTCTGGGGAGCTCGGAGAGCAAGTTATGTTTTTACAGATTGGTAGTTTAAAATCCTAATCACCTGTCCTAAAACTGGGCACTTACTTTGCCAACTGATGTTTAAGGAGCACACAGCATTAGTTTTTACCTGTGTGTGAGCTACACACGCAAAATTTCACCTTACGCAGAGGTGCTCAAGAGTGACGTAGCACAGCGGTTCCCAATCTGTGGTACGGGTACCACCAGTGGTACGCAGACAACCTGTCAGTGGTACTTGTTAACAGACTTAATATAATTACTTTATATGACAAACATTTGCTGGTGGCACTTAAGATTGTATCACTTTAAATTGGCGGTGCACAATCTGTCAGTTTGGGAACTGCTGAGTAGCGTATGCATCTCCAATACGACAGAGCATATGCAGATGCTCAGTGAGAGGCTCTGGGACTAAGTGGGGAGCCTTTAAGCTGCAAGCACTGAAATGACACACAAACTCAATGTCCTGTGACCTTTCAATGAGGCTGAAACCTCTAAATTATATTGGAGAAGTGGGGCCAGGGTTCCCTTGGCCATTTCAGCATCTGAAAATCCCACCCACTGTAATTTCTGACTGCAGTAATGTCTGAGCCCTCAGACAGAAGAAGGGCTAAAGGTCACATTTTAGAGAGGTATCCAGGCACCTAATTTCCCCATGATTTTAAAGGCAGGCACATGCCTAACCCCCCTTTAAAAACCTGACTTCAAGCTCAGCCCTGTTGCTTGCTTCCAAAGATGCATTTTGGTTTCTATCTTCCATTTTCCCCACCTGGTTATAGGAGGACCAGACACCACACAGGAGCAGAGGGGTCTCTGGGCATGCAGAGGAAGAGGGGTCTTCTCACAAGCAAAGGGGGAAGTGGATACAGCCCTATCTGTGTGCTTACAGTGCAACACTGTGGCTATGCAGGCTCATTTAACCTCACAGGAGCTATTTCCTCATTAATTTACCATTTTGATTCCTAAATGATGTCTGTCACAGAGGTCATTTTCCCTCTGACCACAGCAGGACAAATGTACACACCTTGTTGGGGTCGGCAGGGTCCACCCACGCCACCTGGAATATGTACTTTAGCTCCTCGGCGAGCCCCATCCGTGCCCCGCTGTTCGCCGCAATGTAGACGCGGGGGATGCCCTCTGCACGGGCCAACTCCGACGCTCTCAGGAAGAGGAGGTCCTCCATGAGTCCGAAGGAGCCAATCTTGTGTGTGATGTCATTGCTTATGACGATGATGTCCCGGCCGCTCGGATACTCGGGGGTTTTCAGCTTCATTTTGAAAGCCACCATCCCCACCTGCCCAAAACAACAGGCAGCTGTGGAGGGGGGCTTCTCCAGGAGGGGTGGACCATGCCATGGCAGGGGGCTCCTCTCTGGCTCTTCGAAGGTCAATTAATGGCCCTCCCTACACCCCTGACTCCCAGCTGCATTCACCGTACTTTAAAAATGCAACTCAGGCCGAGTTTTTGTTCCACTTGAGGCTTCTTGCAACTGGCAAGAACATCTGGGAATCAGGGATATTTCTGGCGCAGAAACACATCCTTAATCGGAGTCATGGCTGCCAAAGCTTCACAATGAAAGCGCCCCTGTCTAAGTTGGCAACCACCGTTGGTAGTTCATGTCTCCGAGACACAACATGCAGTGAACCCCACACACAGTGTCCTGCCAGGCGAGAAGACAACCTCCAGCCTAAAACGTCAGAGAAACCGCCCAACACTGACAAGGACCGAGTTTAAGAAATGTACTCGAATCCTCCTAGTCTAATGACTAAATCGGGGGGGAAACCCCCTGTGTTGCCACAGTCCTGAGTTAAAAGGAAGAGAGATGTAGTTAGCTGTAACAGTCTGAAGTCAAATGGAAAGCCGGGTAGATTTGCACCTTACAGATGAACCAAAGGAGACAGAGAGATCTCTACTTTGGTTAGTCTATAAGGTGAAAATCTACTGTCTTCTACTTAAAAGGAAGAAACAGTTGCACATTCTTCATTGGGTACCATACTTAGTTGGTTTTCTGCATGAGAGTCAATGGGTATTACAGTAATTTGCACCTCTTTCTTCCACTGTTCAAAGTACTGGCTCCACTCCACTCCCTCCTCCCTTCCCATCACAGAATCCTTTCCTGTGTTGCCTTTAGCGTCCGCTTCCTCCTCTACCTCCGTTCTCTCCTTTTCCCTGCACTGTTCTCTTCAGCTCTTCCCACGCTGCTCCCTTTTCCAGTTCAGCCCCTCAACCGCTCCCGTCTTTTTTTCTCTGTTGATCTCACTCCTACCTTATTTCCACCAGGGAGTCTGTTCATCTGTACCAGCTGCCCCTGGGAATCCAACACTAACTCGGTGTAGGTGAGGACATCTTTGGAACAGCTCTCTGTACAGCCCCAGAGCTTGAAGAGAGCCTGTGGAGGGACCAGAGTCAAGGCCATTAACACAAACAAAACCGATGGAGCCGAGAGCATGTGTTGCTGCTTGGCAAATGTGCATCTATGTGACAGCCTTGTAGTCATTTAAGTAAAGGGACTTGAACTGCTGCCAGCCTGACTTTGCTGTGTTTCTCTTCATGCTGGGACTTTCTTATTGAGCTCCTCACACCTGGTGCTGCTTCAGCAGGGCTCTGCTGATTTGTGCGAGCTGATTTGTGCCTTAGAAAACATCTTGCCTACAAGAAAGCATTCTCCAGGCCAATAAAGAGTAGCAAGGAGAGTTGTTTTTTGCCCCAAATGGATAGACATAGAAGAAGAAAATAGATCATGGAAATACATCAAACTGCTCCTTAGCATGACTGACCTGCCTGAACATTTCGGGGAAGTCGTACACGTAGGTCGTGCCCAGAGACTGTGCCTGGAATCTCTTGGACTGAAGCAGGTCCTTCGTGACGTACGGCGTGTTGATCAGCATCCCGTGCAGTGGCCCCTGTTTGTCTCCGTAGGAGTGAAACATGATCTAAAGAGAAGGGTGGAGTCAGTGTCCCCCCCCGCCCACCGACTGCTCATTAATCAGTTAAAAGGCAGTCACTCAGAAGTGGGGTACGGCTTGCTGCTTTGATATGTTAGAAAGCTTATGGTCTATGAGACTGGTGATAACAGACTCCATCTCGCCATTCTCATAATAAGGACCAGACTCAAGAGCATCACAGCAGCATCCCTGGTTGGTATGGACATCCCCGCCAGTATTGTAACAACCTAGTTGCGTCTGCCCCCCCGTCTTAGCACTTGCCTAGACATGAGACCTAAATCCCATACAGCTAAGCGCAGGCAGCGTGTCTCCTTGAGCTCAAGTGGAGTAAAAGAAGCAGAGCTTTATTCCCAATGGCACCTTGTGGGTCGAAGCAGCTACAGTGCAGCTTACATGTGCAACACTTAAAGAGTAGTTTTAATGCAGCTGAAACCTGATGTGGACAGATGCACAAGCCTGTTTAAACTGATGTAAAGCCACTCGGAATGGTTCAAAAGCATACCTGGAAAATCAAGTACTATTTTGAACTGGATCACTGTGATCTGGTTCAGTATCTATGTGCAGATACCAAGTATTCCACGACATACATCTGGTTGGTCCTCCAGGCATCCCACACTGCACTGCTCTTCACCCCACACAAACGACAGCAACTAAATGCTCTGGTATGCAATCAGAACTCAACTGCTTCAACCTCCCCCCTTTTTTTTTCCTTTTGTTGGAACTCTTTATCAATGTGCCCCCCGACGCTGCCCACTCAATAAACACTATCTTTCTTATATGCCCTTACTTCCTGCTCAACCGTGGCCCCTCACCAACACCCCCCAGCCCCTGGGGGCCCAAAAATGTGGGTCATAGCACCCCCCTACACCCTCCCCAAGTTATGTAAGCACACTGCAGTCAAGTGCAAGCTACTGAAGTTTATTGAACTCAGTTAGGAGAGAAGGGAAGGCAGACATGTGAAAATACTCCCAGCCACTCCCTTGGACTCCCAAAACATGGATGCAAGCACTTCCCACCCTCTACCTGCAAGGCATGCTTGGCTGAGCGCTGCCCTTCCCACCCCTGGTGCCAGAGCCACAGCACTTCATGCAATTGCAAACCGGTCGCTAATCAGTGCCATTTGGAAGGGTTCGATTGTTACGTGTGTCTGCACCCTTAGTGACAGCTCGGCCATGGACTTGCTACAGTGGTTGCAGGAATGACGACCCAGCAGTACCCGGCTCTAGAAGCCTCAGCTGAGCCCAACCCCTCAGCAACTGGGCATCCCTAAATACCAGAGGGAAGCCTGGGGACACAAGCAGCCTAAGCAAAGGTGGGGACTATTGGCTGGTTCACACCAAGTATTTGCTCCAGGATTAGTTACGCACATTCTCTGTGCTGGAGTCCTTCACTTCTTTGTAGAGACTAATATCCAAGTAGTAGCCAGACTCGTTGGCAAGGAAGAGGCGGATAGGAATCGCCTTGGTTGTCGGCATCAGGCGGATGTTGATCTTCACTTCCGCCTGCAGGACCCGCAGTTTCCACAAGCGGCTCCCATAGCGCATCACCATGGAGCGGACTGACTCCTCTATCTGGGGACACATGGGCCAGAAACGCTCTGAGCTGCTGGAGTGGCGACATCTCAAATGGCTCCTGTCAGACATGCCTTCCATTCTCCCAACAGCAGGACAACACCCTTCTGGGCAACATGTGCCCACATGTGCCTGAGCCAAGAAGCACCCCTTGCCCTTCCTCATTTCAGTTTACACACACACCCACACACACAACTGGCAGACAACTTAAAGTCGCACCAGCAAAGGAAAACGCAAGGTGCACCACGGCTGGGTCTCACGCTGTCACCTCCCTTCTCTGAGGGCTGGCATTGCTATAAGACAGTCCCAGCAAGAGAGAACCAGACCCTGCCTTATCTGTTGGCCCTGAATGGAAAAAACCTCTTTGTGTGAGATATTCTTCCTCCTTCCCTTCTTTTTGGAAGCCTGACAGTGCTGCTTCTTTAGCAGCTGCCAAGCCAGTGTTGGGGGGAAGAACCAGGGTGTAACCCAAATGCTGACCTCCATCACTGGTGGGCAGCCATTTTACCTGCCAATTCCTGCAGGTCTACTTATAAAATGCTCGTTCATTTGTAAACACTAGAGATCTCGGTATCTCCCGAGTTAGCAGTGCTTACATTCCCTCCATGCACACTGCATGGGAGGTAAAGTGCTCAGTGATGTTGCCCATAAATGCTGGGTTGAGGCCAAGGGTATGAACCCTACAGCTCTGTATTGGATCAGGGCTGGCAGGAGAACATACCAGCACGGGACAGCAGCATGTCGGGGAAGCCACGCTCCCCCCAATGACTGCCCCTATGACAAGCCACCGCTGTGATCCCTTCTTCCCACAGAACCTCTGTGCAGGAAAAGCCCCCGTTCACCGGGGAGGGCTCACCTTGGAGGGGTCCATGACTACAGTTGGCACAAAGTTGAGGAAGATGTGGTTACAATCTGTGCGGACGCTCGTGTTGTTGAAGGCCACCTCCAGCTCATCCATGGCTTCCAGAAGCAACCGTTCCCCCTCGTTCTGCAGGTACTCGAATGAGGCTTCCTGCAAGGGAGCCAGAGAGAACAAACCCACCGCACTGAGGACAGGGACTTTTCCCTAATCCAGTTACTCTGAGCAAAGCACTGCCTTCAGCTCCCACACATGCAAATCATCACCCACTCTACCAGCCCCTTGCAAAGACCTCATGGGCAAGAGAGACCAATGTAGCACCCGTTCCAAGCCACAGCACATCGGCTGCTGTGCCCTCATTACCTTTGTGATAAGGTCTGAGTGGCGCACGATGGCTCGTATGAAGAACCGGTGGTCAGTCACTTCTGCCCCCTCTGCCACCTTGGAAGCCCCCAGGTAGAGGTGCATCTTGTGGTTGGCGCAAGGGATAGCGGTCAGGTCGAAGTTACGCATGCGGCTCAGCTCCAACTGGAAGGCCAGGGCTGGTTCCAAGTGCCGATAAATCCGGTCTTCTGCAAACTGGGAGAGAGAAAAGAGAGCACAATCCCATGCGACCTGGGGAGAACGCCTCTGATTCCCACCATGACATGAGAGACCTCGGACAAGGGAGCCCTACCTCGTCTCTTGCTCTGAATGTAAAAAACTTCGGGAATTCTCTCTGTAACAGAAGAGGAGGGGAAGACAATGACATATTGGTAAAACTAAGTCAGCCCTCAAACAAGAAATTGTCATTTCTTGGATGTCCTAGGGGAAAAAAAATTAAATAAGAAATAGTAAAGCCAGCAGAGAAAGCAACCTGAAATACCTGTGTTAACTCACCTCTCACAACAAAAAAATGTCAGAGTTAGTAAAGCAACAGTCAAGCTTTCCACTCTAGGAAATCCTTACTATAATAATGTAACACAATTAGATGAGTTATTGATTGATGCAGAGCCTAACAAGCTCTAACTCCTTCCACTGAGCAGCGATTATATCCATCTCTAGCTTGTATCTCTGATCTGCTTGTGACCTCTATCAGTCATTTATTCACTCTTAATAAACCCTCGAGGGCGTGGATGTATAAGCCCAGCGCGACCAAATCGATTCAGCGACGGAAAATGTCCTCTCCTCCACTGACCTGCTGTGCGACCAAGAACGTAATTCTCCGGAGGCCACAGTCAACCAGGATGTTTTTCTATACGGAGACAGGAGATAAATACTGTGTCACTGGCAAGGCCTTCAGGACCCCAGGGAAATTTTAAATGTTTTCAGGAGGAAAAGCAGACAAGTCTCAGAAGCATTACCCCAATGCAAGACCTCTTGAGAGAGCTGCACTAAATACCCAGAGCACAGGGAAAGCACAAGACCTTGGACTGAGCAAAAGCTCTGAAGATGGGCACCAGCTTCTCATCCTCGAGGTGCTCTACCCACTGGATCGCGATGTTCAGGATGTGGATGGGCTCCTCTCGGATATTCTGAGAACAACAGACGACGCTGTCAAGCCGGATGCCTAGGAGACAATGGCTGTCCTCGGCCTGCGCCGCCCCCAGGGCTGTGGGAGCAGCCAGCCCGCGGTCGTACCTTGTTGTCCTCCTCGTCGTAGAGTGTGGCTTGCACTTCGCTGAACAAGGGGCTCTCGGAGGGTGGGTCAGCAAAGGAGGAGATCACTTCATCGAAGTTCCTAGTGGGACCCAAGCAGGGGGTGGAGGACAAGTCAATGACCTTAAGGAGCTGGAGAATTCCTGGTGCACAACCTGCTTTCCACAAAAGCTGAACTACTTAGGCCAAGGGCGCTGGGGACTGGAAACCAGGAGAGAAGGACTGGACTGGGATTCAGGGGACCTGGTGTCCATGCCTGACTTTGCCACAGACTTTTAGTGCAGTCTTGGGCAAGTTGCTTGTTAACCTACCCTATGCCACAGCTCCTGAGATCCCAAGGCTGTTGAGGGAATAAAGGCATTCATTACACAATGGCCAGATGCTCAGATGCCCAAGCTACACAGGTGCATGCGTTTACCCAGAGTGGGCAAATGTGCTCAAGTGCCTCACTTTTCCTTGTTTAATAGGATTAGCAACACGTGGACCACTGCCTCCCTAACTTTTAGTCATCGCGCTTGGTGCTTCTTCTCCAGCTGCTTAACACTCAACTTTGGCAGGACCACAGGCATTTTAACTGCCTGACTGAAGATGGCTTTGCTTAGCCTGTGGCCCCAAATCCAGCTTTATTCTCAAATAGGATAGTGCTGCATGCACCCAGTGGAAGTGTCTGAATAAAAGCAATGAGCAGTGAAGGTTTTCCCTCTACTTCTCTTACCTGGTGAAGTCTTCAAATCTGTTGAAAGCCACCATGGCGCCCATTCTCTGGCACAGAGGAGAAAACCCGCTGTCCATAAAGAGCTCAGTGCTATGCCGGGCTAAGTCTGGGTTTGATATGCTGACAGGGACAGACATCCTGCGCAAAAACGCAACAACAGGACAATGAGACCCAGCTCACAGAGAGGTGACAGACAGCGGGGGATATAACTGAGACAGCAGATCCCCTGGAAAAAGGCCTTTTCATTCAAAACAAGATAAAATATTATCTACATAGGACTCCTTCCCCCTCTTCTTATAGGGGCTGGTGCTCTGTGAGGTATCCCCTCTATGCTAACTCCTAAGGCACCAATGCCTGTTTTGGTTTGCTTTTTCCAGTTCAGGCCAAACAAAAAGATGCATATTTAGCTAATGCAATTCTTTTAAAAGCCCTTTGCCAATCCAATCAAACACTCTGACGCAGCCAGCAGCTCTACGGGGTTTCTGAGGAGAGCTGACAGATGCTGCTTCCAGCAAAGAGGGGACGCCGGATGGTGGGGCTATATTAACTTTCTTTTTTTATTAGGCTGCTGGCTGCTACTTCAGTTCATGCGCATTTAATTGCTGGCTGGGTACCTCGGCCTTTCTTGGTGTCTTTGAAAGCAATAAACGTGGTATTTCTTTGAAAGCACCATAGACCTGGCTGCAGATCTAGCTGGTGGAATGTCAAGCTCATGCCCGTCCTGGAGGTAATGATAAAAGCCAACAAGCTCTACTCATGAAGAAGCTTTTTCACTGGATATGAAGAGACTGGGTGTAATGCCCAGAACAGAAAGGCTTAGACTGCTAGCACCAACGGCAGCCGTGCCTTGGGAGGAGCAGGGCCTGACCAGCAGCAAGCCCGCTGGAGGGCAATAAGCCACTTGCAACTCGGCTATTCTAGTCCCTTTAGTGGAGGACAAAGGCACAGGAGCCTATCCCACCACAGCCCGTGCTCCCTTTCAGCACGCTCGTCCCACCGTCTGCTGGACACTTGCTTTTCCTCCTAGAACAACCCTCCCTGCTCTGATTCCCAAGTTTCTTGGGCAGTGACAATTTCTAGGAATTGCTGGTTCCCTTTCTCCTGAGACTCATCATAACTTCTTCTTTCTTCAGTGCCCTCCATCATTTCCCGTGTAAGAACGCTACTGGTGTCAGCCTGGGCCTTCAAAAATGTCATGCAGCACCAGTAACCTAATCCTTCTCATCACCCAGGGCTTGCACCAGAGAGGGTAGGACTACATCTCAGGATCCAGTCTGCTCTTACTGCTCAAAGTCCTCTGGTCACTGACACAACCTGGCAGAGGAGGGCTACCAAAAGGACAGAATCTCTCTGAAGACCAGCGATGCCACAGAGCAAGGCAGATGCCCTCTCTTCACTGGGGTGAGGTGCTAGGCCCACTTCAGTAATTCTCCCCAGCACCATGCAGTTGCTTTCACCTGCCTCTGCTCAGGGTGTTTGTGCAATGAGATCGTTTTCCTTCTCTCCACAGGCTTGTCCGTTACCTCAGTTAGTCCAAAATGCCAGAGGTTAATACAAAATGATGAGGATTCACTGGTATTAATAGAGCTCTAATCATGTCATATTAGGCAGGGAGACGAGATATGGAGAATCGGCAGGGCTGCAATTTTTTTAGGACAACGACGCAGACTCCAAAGTCAGCAGCAGAGTTAATTCATTGAGGCCAGAAACAGTCCCAGAGGTCCAAGGTCTGCCCTGGCTTAAAGTCCATTTTGGACTGCTGCAAATGTGGAACACCATACTTTGGGCTCGATGATGGCTGATGTTGACTGTTGGTGCTATTTTAACCCACTCAGTATTACTCTGCAAGGTAATGGGCCAAGCCAAGGGCTGGCACTCAGGACTCCTGGGTGACTAGTCTAGTGACTAGTCATACTGTACTCCTGGGTGACTAGTCATACTGTAGCTCTGCTGCTCAACTGCTGCATAACCTTCCACCGCCCTGAGTCTATCCGTTGCACAGGAAAACTCTCTTGCCTAACCCCAGCCAAATGACAAGGACAAAAGCCAGCACAGGACTTCAGAGTTGTTAGGCCTTATGTATCCAGTGCTGAGTATTTCATGCCCTGCTGCCTCCCTTGTTCTGAAATCAAGGGCTATCAATGTACCAGCTCTTTTTCTCGAGGCACCCTAAGCTTTGCTGTAATCTTGGCTTCTACGGTGACAATTGCTCAACCACAGGGATGAGACAGAGACTGCCAACTTCTGCCCATCTCTAATAGGGATGCTTGACTCTGGAAGAGCTTGTCCTGCCTGGCCAGCCAGGGAGCAGAGCACTTTAACAACAGCCAGCAAGCTCAGGGGGCACAGAGAGAGAGAGAGAGAAATGGGCACATTTGAGGAAGCATTAATAGAGCAACAAATAATCATATCTCATGCGTCAAAGAAGAAGTTCTGCACTCTACCTGCTCAAAGTAGGGATGCAGCCTCTGCAATCAGAGCATTGAACAACACCATGAGTGGGAGCAGGGAACCCAGCCAGCCCAACACCCACACCGCAGATGGAAGAGGGGCTTTATCCCACCGGGCAAAGACTGAATCAAGTCCCACCAAGGGAGAGGTAAAGCCAGAGCAGTGGTGTTTCCTTAGGAATAGCTCGGCACCAAGCACCGGGCAACACAGAAGTCATGCCTACCTGTTTGGATGGGATGATGGCAGCATGAACTGGAACTCCACCACACAGGTGCCGTCCGACAGCTGGCGATGCTGCAGGCTGTTCAGCTCATAAGCAATATAGCCTCGCCTCACATACACCTGGTGAAAGGAGAGGATGGGAGTTTACACTGTGAATAAGAGTGGGGTCCCCACCAACCCCTACGCCCCCCGGCCAATAAAGCGAACAGCACCACCATCTCTCTTGGTGGTACTCCCCGTGCCTCAGGCTCTCTGGACAGCACCGCTCCTAATTAAGAGGCATCCAGCACCCCGCAATTCAACCTTTACCTCCAGTGCTGCCATGCGCACCACTTCGTTTGTGTGGTAGAAGAAGACGGGCAGCACATCGAAGATGGTGGTTTCTGAGAGGATCAGTTTCTATCAGGACAAAACAGGACCCGGAGTGACAAAAGGGAAAAAAAAGGCTAAAATGAGACATGGCAAATGGCAAAGCAGAGGAAGAGAGGAAAGGTATGGCTGCAAGACATTGTGTTCTGCAAGCTTCCTTCTGCTAGACTGGCCACAAACAGTCCCAGAGGTTTGAGAGGTCTGCCCTGGCCTGACGCCTGTTTTGGACTGGTGCAAACATGGAACACCGTGTTTGGGCTCAGAAATGGCTGGCATTGACTGCTGGTGAAGGACAAGGTCAGCTGAGGGATGGATTCATTCTGTGTAGGTGCTCAGCACCAGTTCTCTGACAGAGGGGCATGTCTTATGCAAAAAAGGGCTTGGCCATACATTCTAATTAAAACTGGATACAAATCAGCTATAGAGTTGTTATACATTTTCAAGCACTAACTTGGTAGCTGGTTGGCTCTTCTTAGAGCTGGATGGAAACATTTTTATGGCGTGATAATTACTTTGCACCTGTGACCAGTCTAAATTTATTGCACGACTGATCAGTGAATCGCACAATATATGCAATGTGTGGCAGAGGCCAAAGGGAGAGCTCCCTTAGCTCCCTGCACACCCCTCAGGGAGTGGTATAAGAGTGGTGAACCTGGGCTGTGGGGGTTTTCTGCAGGAAGTTAACAGCAAGCAACCTTTCACGTGACCTGGATATGGGCTAAAACTGACAGCTAAAGCTAGAAAAGATTCACAAGCCTTGAAGGCTTTTTAATAAACAGCTTCCAAGCCAAATATCACAGCGTATCACCTCCTCATGCTGGGAGGTAAAAGTCCCTGCTTTCAACACACAACACTAAGAACATCCCAACCTTGAGGTTTTCAGGGCAGAACTGGTGGCCGTACATATCGATGGCAGAGAGGAGGATGGACTCCACCTGGTTGTGTCTCAGTTCGTACGAAGGGAGGTGAGATGCAATCAGCACCTAGGAGGGAAAAGACTGGAGGTGAACGGCTGAGGTGGAGGTGAACGGCTGAGGTGGAGGTGAAAGGCAGGGTTGTGGGTCTGGGGTGGAACCAACCCTGCTGGACAATACCGTGTACAGCCAGCCAATGTACTGACCTGTCTGGCTCTCAAAGCCACTTTGGAGTGCTCCGTTTTACTGAGCTGCGTCAGCTCGTTGAGAATGGCCACCAGTTCGTCAGTCAGGGTGGGTTCTCGGCCACAGAGCTGATCCTAGGCGAGGGAAAAACCTTCCAGCATCAGATTCATTCTCATTAACATTTACTGCTGCATGTGAACCGCTTTCTGTATCCCTTCATGTGTCCCGAGTGTCTGCGGACCCATTCTCTTCACCCACAGACTAGGAGCCCGCTCCAAAGAGTCAGCACTGGGAATGTGGTATGAAGAAGGGGCATTTTTTTAATTAATTTTTTAAACAAATTCAAAGCAGGTGTCATACAGATGGGGGAAGGGAGAGGGAGAAACCCTATAACATTGAGATCAAAATACTGTAAAATGTCTGCAGCAGTAGTCTATAGAGCTGCGCACAAGACAGATTCAGGAATCTCCCACTTTTGAATCCCAGTCCTCACCTGCCATATACACTTCGTTGCACTGCACTGACGACAGAGCCTTTGCATAAAACTGTAACTATAGAGGGCTTCCCTTCCCTTCTTTGCTACCGCTTAGTTTCCACATGTCCAAGACTTCCCTCCCGGGTTAGCTGTAAGAACCCTACAGTTTGTTTCAGAACAGTTTGGATAAGAACCAGATGCCCGTGCTGCCTAAGAGAGCTCGTTCTCTCTACTTACAATCAACATGGTCACAAGAAGGTTTTTCTTTGCCACCTGGGCATGTGCGAAGATGCACTTGAGCACTGGGGTCATGTCAGGCTTGTACTGCTCCCTCAGGTTGACCACGCATTTGTCGCAGTGAGCTGAGGAGGAGAGGAAACACCTTATGCGGTTAGATTCGTGTCCACCAGCCAAGGGGCAATCCTGCCACCCCTCTCATCTGACCTTGCTGGAACTGGGTTTCCACTTGTAAGTATCTCTTCAGCAAGTCCAGCACGACTGACTTCATGTAGCCCCGAATGCCACTGCGATACCTAAGAAAGAGCGGAGGAGAGGGCTGGCGGCTGGAGCTGTGGCCCGGAGCCAGCGCATCATGGCACTAGCCAAGCTCCAGGGCCGGGAGCACAGAGCCAGTCCAGGGGTGGGAGCAGGCCCCTCCTCTCATGGGGAAGCTGGCAGGAAGCAAGGCTTCCTGAGTTGAGGATGAGGTCTTGCCACTGTGCATGTGGTAGGTGTCTCAAGGCATTCCCCTCGGGACCCCGCAGCGCAGGCTAGAGTTGGTCTCCCACCACTCCAACCCTCCCACATAGGACAGGCTGTTACAGACGGCACTAGCGCCTGCCTGAAAACTTCCCACACCGCAGAGCAAGACGCAGCCCAGGCAGGCAGGCATTCACCTCTGGACTAACTGCACAATGCTCTGGGTGTTCATGAAGAAGACTTCCCGATCTGCCTTCCTCTGCAGAGTGGCTGCGTGGCTGTCCAGGACGCTAGCGATCTGCACAAAACACAGGGAATGCTGGAATGAAGCAGCTAATGACTAACGTGAGCACAACAGTCTGGGACAAACCTGGCATACAAGAAGGAACCTGCCCTTTCAGAAGCAGTATCCAAGACAGAGAAGATGCTACAATACCCAGGATCTATGAGATGTTGATCAGCTTGAACTCTGGCTGGGTTTCCAAAGAACCCAACTGCCAGACACCCCAGGAAACCTCTAGCCCTTAAACAGAAGCTGTTTCCTTTATACCAATGCCTCAACCCGTGTGAGTTATCCCCGTGCATGTAAGCAATTCAATTAGCGTCAATGAGACGTTCCACTGGAGAAAAGATATACATGCCTTACCCCAAATGGCCACTTACCTTTCCCATTCTTGGGACCTCCCAACTCATAATAAATCTACATACATTATGATATATGTAAAAACCACTAGGGAAGGACTGGAACGTGAAAGACTGCGAGGCTGCTTACCTGCTGACTAGGAAACTGGCACAGCACAGAGGTGATGTTACTGGCATACTGGGCCATCACTTTTCGCACAGATTTCTCCACTGACGGAGGGATTCTCCCAGAGACGCTTGTCATGATCTCCTGCAGCTCCAGAAGGGGCAGGGATGGGTCCCGGAGGGTCTTCATCAACTTGGTCACCCATTCTTTTGCCTAAGCAGAATAAAGACCCATGGTGCACAGGGGCCACTGGATCTCTTGGCAAAAGCCAAGGGAAACAATCTTGCCCTGCAATGAAAGCTATGTTTGCAATCCTGTTTGGAAGTGATCAGGTGGGCTAGTGCAGTGAAGCTCAGGATGGCTTCTCAGTGGTCACCCACCCCCACTGAACAGGGCTCCACACTTGGTTTTAAGTCCCCTCAGGACCAATTTTCAGAGATGCTGAGCACTGGTTGACTTCAGTGGGTGGCTCCGACTGCACGGCATCCCTGACAGACAAGGCCCGTATTGTCTGCTACAAAATCATCCTCTCTCTGTTCTGAGCACCTTTGCAGATTAGCAGCGGAGGCTGTTACAGGAAAGCACCTACCTTGGTGCTGAAATACGGCTCGGGCAAGCAGAACCCGTTCATGATGTTGATCAGCTTATGCAGCACGTTACGAAAGACCTGGTGCAGCTTCTCCCCAGTGACTGGCAATGTCTGCTGAGCTGGGAGGCCACCTTTGTACAGCTGGGCCTGAGGTGGGGCAGAGAGAAAGGAAGCACTGGACCTCCAGGCATGCAAGAAGCAGGGGAGAGGGGAGAGAAGGAAGCCAAGGTGCCACTAAGCTAACAAGTAGAAACACATGGTACATTCCTCCAGCTACAGCAGAGGGACAGAGAGGCTGATCACTTTTGATTACACTTTTGATTAAAAATGCAGTGGAAGGTGCAGTCGATCAGTCAGTCAGAAGTCTTAGGGAAACCTAGAAGGCCTTAGTTGTGTTGTTTTCAGTAAAGTCTGAATGATTCACCTCCCTTCTGGCTGACACAGCATCTATGCTTAGTATGATGCAGACTAGCCAAGGATGTCTACAGAAAGGCCGGACCTTCAAATTCCACATCACCGCAAAACATTTAGGGTGTTAAAGCTTCCAGTGAACAACAACAACAACAACAACAACATGACAGTGTCAGAGGTGGGCACAGGCTGAAGAAGAGCAGGTGGATCAAGTAAATAGGTAAGTAACCTCTCCCAGCAAAGATACTCACTGTATGAACTTTGGTAGGATCATCTAACTCAAGCCTGGCTATGACACAGCCTGCCTCCAGCAACGCTCCTGGCCGCTTTATATAATGTATATGACCAGATTCTTCTACAGTCAGGGGCATTATCATTTTCATCACCTGTAGGAGAGTTGGTGGAATATTCATAGAGTGTCATGAGTGAATAGCATCCACGCAACACCCAGAGCCTATGATACAATCACATCTTTGCAACGGCTGTGAGATCGACCTGGCTTTATTTTTGCTGGGGGAGTGTACAGTCCCAATGGATGCCTTTCGATGCACCATGTGGACTGGGAAGCTCTTAGCCAATTACCTCAATCTCTGCAAAACTGTGCCCTATGCAGATGTGGCCTCCGTCTTCCACAAGGTACTGCAGCAGTTTGCCAGCAGAGGGTGATCTCAGCACAGTCAGATCTTTCTCCTTCTCGAAGTCGCATGTTTTATTACTGATGGTGATGCGGTATCTTAAGGACAGAGGAAATTCTGTTACTACTTAACACGCTTGCTGCCTGCCACAGAGGCAGCGGCTTTTGTGCCAGCTCGCCAGCTCAACAAGAAATCTGCGTGGGGACGTGGGACTCAATCTTTGACCTACCGGTCCGCTTCCTCCTTCATGTACGTAGTGTAACTGTTACCATTGTAGGACAGCAGCAGCCCACCATCGTTCAAGCTGTGCACGTCGATCTCAAGGTAAGTGTCATTCATTATGATGATGTACGTTGTCGGAGACTGACGGGCAACCTATTAGAAAGATTCCCCAAGGCAGACATCAGCAGCATAAAAATGACTGCAAATGTTCTCTGCTGAGGCCTGTGGGAGTTGTCAATGCCTTGGCATCCCCAGGGATCTGCCCCTTGGCCCGTACCACTCACCTGCTTTGCATTAAGCCTATACGGATGACAGGGGAAGCAGGGCTCTTGCTCTGTACTGGCCAGAGCAGGACGTGCTGCAGTCTCTCCGGCATTCTGATACTCCAGCGTATGTAAGATGGATGCACGTACACATGGAGCAGATGTTATGTTCCAGTTGTCACGTGTAAATGAGCTGAGAACGATTCAAGTGTAGCAGAACTGCTCTACCTTTAACACTGTTTCATCCAGCTCTTTTGCAAGGGCCCCTGCATGTACATGTGTCCATCCCTACAGTTAGCGCTTGCATTGCTAGCCTAGTTCTACATTTACAGCTACCAGTAGGTCTGCCTGATCTTCCACTGGTCTGGCTGGTCTTACTTTCCTGCTGCACAGCTGGGGTGAAATTACATGTTACACTTACACCATACCAAGGGCACTAACTACGCAAGTGTCTGAATATTGTAATGCGTTACCTCGTGCTAAGTGCCTTCTGAGCATCTCAAAGTGACACTACTTCAGGCAAAGGGTATCTCCAAGCTACTCAGCTCATATTAGGGTAACTTCAGGCTGTTCCATGGAGATAAAACGAACAATTACCAGTCCTCCAGCATCCCAAGACGCATTGCTCCCAGCCTGCTTCCCCTGCACCAGAGCAGGGATAGAGTCAGGTATCCTGGATCCTAGATAAAACCCTGCTCACTAGACCTCTAATAGCAAGTCAGAGCTGTGCGGGCAAGTCACGGTATTAACCCTTATCATGGCACTGCTCACCGCACATTCTGACTTTACCACCACTTAACAGTCCATGCACTTAGTGTGGGCTAAGGGTAATGTGTAACTTCACCCTCAGTGGAATAGAAGTGCTGTGCTGGGTCAGACCAACAGTCCATGTAGAATATGGCACCATTTATGTTCCACTTCCTGTGCGGCAGGAAAGTAAGATTAGTTGCCATCTGAGAGCAGGAAAACCATTTATTCTGTAAGGACAGACTCAACTAAAATGAGGTTTCTTCTTTATGTCTAAACAGAGAAGGGCAACATTTGTGCTGCAGCTTTTATTGAAAGATGCCCACTCTGTGCTTGCCCGAGAGGATTCGACTCCACACGGGTTACATGCCTGCCAAAGTCTCAGCACCAATATGGATGACAAGGAGACGCCGTTTATACCTTGAGAGCATACTTCACCCCTTCGGAAATGAGCTCCACGTCTACAATGTTAAGCAGGGAATCTGCTGGCAGGACCTGCCCCCTTCAAAGCAAAGATAAAGTCAGGCACCACATGCTTTATAGCCTATTAGCATCAGTCCAGCTAAGAGAGTGGGCAGGTGCTGCTTTCAAATAGGCCGCTGTCATTCAATGTACAGACAAAAACAATGGATTCAGACCAGAAAGGGCTGAAGCCAGGGAGGTCTTCCAAAGACAGACCTGCAAGGGAATTAAAAATGGCATCTCAGGCTCCTGCCAGCCCCACTCTTGCTTCTTTCTGCTGTATAAAGGCATACTGCAAATGGTGGGAGAAGACTTTCATTGCATCCCATGAGTCCTGTATGGCTCAGAAACCTTGATGGGGACAAGGCAGCTGATGAGACAATATCACACGGGCATCCAAGAATGAATGTTCAGCGGCTGAGCGGGGAAGGGACTTTGTGCCAGGCTTGAAAACTCTCATGGCTTTGGTTAGCACCTCTCACTCTGAAGACCTGACAATGCCTGGGAGACGGCTCACGGCAAAACCCAAACCAACTTCTCCCACCGAAAAACAAATACTAAATGCAAGCCAGTGACTCTTTATAAGCCGCTCTTCATTCATCAATATGACAAGGCACAAGGGGCTGGTCTGATCAAGTCCAGTTGCCTGAACTGCAAAAAGCAAAGCAGGTGCAAGGCAGTGCAAAGCCAGGCTTTTCCTTTGTAGTGTACTCTTTGCAGACACCATTAGGTCTCTGAAGGCCAGTTTCCTTCCCTCCACTGATCTGTCTTCGCCTCTACAAATCCTGCAATTGCTAATTCCCTAATCTGCTCCAGGGAAGAGAGATGTATTCCCAAGGCAAAACTTTCTGCACCTTGCTTTAACTTTTCTTGGGTTGATCGTTCCATAACAGCAGCCGGTCCTGCCCTCTGCTGTCAAAGGTGGAAACTTGCAATAGAAATATCATGTGCGATTAACCTTAAAGCACACAACCACAAGACAGCTCGAAAGGCCTCAAATCACACACATAAATCTACTACTCTATAGGTAAAGAGAAAACTGGAAAACCAAGCCATGTGTTCAATACATGGGCATATGTTGTAGCCATTGGTCTAAAGACATAGGCTGACGAGGTTCTTTGGGTAAATCTGATATCTTTTATCAGACCAACTCAAATAGTTGGAAAAATTCTTCTTTGCAAGCTTTTGGGTATAAATACCCTTTGTCAGGCTGGGGAAGCATCTGCAGTTGTATATCAGCCTCTGGCTTCCTTACTATTCATACCATCCAGGAAGAGCACACACCAACTGTAGATGCTTCCTTAGCCTGACAAAGGCTGTTGATACCCGAAGGCTTGCAAAGAAGGATTTTTCCAACTATTTGAGTTGGTCTAATAAAACATATCAGATTTACCCAAAGAACCTTGTCTGCCTGAATTCAGTATAGGACATTCTTAATACTTTTCCAAGGGTGCTAGATGTGGCAGCACTGGACATGCAGTGAGATGCACTCTCACTTCTAAAGAGCTTGCAACCTGATCCGATGAGACAGGCGAAAGGATGGAAGACGAAACCAAGGCAGAGGAAGCTAAAGTGCCTTAGCTCAGCCAGTCAGTGGCAGAGCCAGATGAAGCACAGAAATGCCTTCAGGATCCCTGGGTACAGCCTGTCAAACCCTGCACTTAATGCCATGCCCCCTACACATGCCTACTACTGCTGAAGTCAACAGCTGGACTCCTGCCTGTTTCAGGTGCAATCTCCATAGTCCTTCAAATCTGCTGTATTTTACCTTTCAAGTGAATGCAAGAATTCGGTCATGCAGGTCCGGAACAAGGCATCGGCTATGTTCAGAGCACCGCAGACAACACCCAGCATGGTGTCAGGCTTCTCAGCCTAGGGGGAAAAGAACAAGGTTCTCAGTACCATGGGGCAGAGGATCCAGGTGAGAAGGAAGAGGATGGCCCAGGAGGGAGAGGCCGTGCTCCACTTTCTCTACCTGCACTTTCTCAGCGATCAGGTGGTCCAACCAGCCAGTATCAATCTCGTTGTTCTGAAAGCTCTCGGTCTCCAGCAGCTTGATCAGATACTCGACCGTTGTTCTGAAATCCCCTCGGATCGACAGCTCTTTCAATGCTACAACCATGTTCCTTCAAAGGAAAGAGCTACTCTGTTCAGGCTGCTTCTCGTAAGACACGTGGGCTCGGTCAGACCTGAGCAAACTGATTCAGAGCCCTATTGGGCTTGCACGATAATCACTGCTCCCCTCCCTCTCATTTTGTTTCCAACCACAGAGACTCCCAAATCTGATTTGCCTGGTACACAGGTGTTAAGTAACTGCTTTTGAAATATGCAGACATGTGGGCCTTATATCAGTGGTTCTCAACCTTTTTAGACTCCAAGCACCCCATGAAAAATGCCAGCTCTTAGTTTTCACTCTTTTTTTTTTGCCTACCAAAACCAGCAGTTTTTCTATTGCAAAGAACTCAGAAAGACCAAAACTATGGATTTCTGTCTGAAATGTCTCCGCTTCTCTTATGACTTGTGTTTGTAAACCTCACCACACTAATACTGTGCACCACCCCACATCACTCTTGAAAGGATCTCATGGCACCCTGGTTGAGAATCACTGACTTAGATCGACGTGTAAAACACTCTCATGATGCAGCAGAGATTTCCAGCAAGTTATGCAGAATCTGGGTGGCTGAGGATTCTGCTTTGGTACCCTAAAAACCTACACCAAATACTTATATTGCTGTAGAGACACATACTTTACAGTTAAGAAACATCTCAGAGTCCCTGCTATTAATCTGCTCTGCACATTTAGCTTCTAGCTTTGTGTAACATCAGAGCACTTGAAGGTCCCAGTTCAGCAAAACATTTAAGCATATACTTGAAGTCTAGCATGTCTAGCACTAGTGAAGATCCATTCTTAAGAACAGCCTAATTAATAAATGGTGCTTTTTGGTGATACTCAGCATTTCAGTACATTTTAACCTCTCTCTTTTCCAGAGCCAGCTTTAGCAAACGCAGGGCCCAGTTTGAAAGCAACATACAGTATGCACAGGAAAAAATGGCATGCAGGGCTGGCATGGCATACACATAGGTGGCAGTGAATTATGTAAACTAGAGCAAAAGACATCATTTTCTGTTGCTAAATAGCACAACATTGAGTGCCTGGTGTCTTTGGCCTTGGGAGCACATACTAATGTTTTAAATCTTACTGACATGACACAGAATGAAAGGAATTCTGCGTGCTCCCTAAAGCCTGGAGCCTGGGGAGGAGAGTCCCATACTAAAAAACCAGCACTACCCTTTAACAGGAGTCTACAACTACACTCTTCAAAGCAGCTGAAAGTATTCACTTGCCGCCTGGGACTGAGCCAGGCATTTTGGAAGCAGCGTTCACTGCGAGTGGAGCCCCCAAAGAAAGTTTACGGTCAGGGGTAGTACTAACGAGATGGCTTCCTCGCGGTTCTCCCCCCAGGAGAAACAGTGCCCGAACTGGGAATCGGCAAACTCATGCAAGCCGCCGGCTGCTGCCACGCTGAAATAGCCCCAGACATTCTTGTTGCTTCGGAAATTCAGCTCCTGCACCGTCCCCGAGCTCGGCTTGAAACCCTGAGTTTAGGGTAAGAATTAGAAAGCACACAAGAAAGTAAGAACCAGAGAAAGGGAATCCCAGAGAAAGTGATGGCTCTTTAATGAGGATTCCTTTAGCCCTGGGAGATTTCAACTGGAAGTCACTCCAGTAATGAACTATTTTATCAACAGAGGACTCTTCCAAGACTAACGGCGAGGTCTTTCCACCCCAGAAAGTTGATCCCATGTGGCAGGAACTCTTTAAGAACAGGGCTGCAGCCTCTCACCTCCTCGGGGTTTTCGCTGGTGATTCTGGCAGCGATGACGTGGCCTCTTGGCGCTGGGGCATTTACTGGATTCTCAAAGCAGATGGGTGTGTCAGCCCACGGGGCCTCTCCGTACAGGACTCGAATGTCCTTTATGCGGTGCAAGGGGACACCCATTGCGATCTGCATGCGTGCCAAGTAGGAATGACAAAAGAAGAAAGGGTTCAGAGCTTTTTTTTTTTTTTTTTTTTTTTTTTTTTTAAGGAACGAGGCACCAAAATTAGAGGGACGAGACAGTTTGACTGAATGGTAATGGGGCACTGCTCCTTTCCCTCTCTCAACTCAGCTCCAGCTCATTTCAGGGTAACCAAAAGACTAGGTATTTGATGGCTGGTCAGAGCCCTCTATGAAAGCGGTTTGTCCACTGGCGTATCGTTGAGGTGCTCAGGATGGACGGGGCATTGCTGAAGAGCCTGCGTTGCCACCTGGGCTCTTTCTAACAGAGAAAACACCTTTCTCACAGGCTGTCACTCTAGTCCCTTTTACAAGCTTTACATCCATGCAAGCTGCACTGCTGAAACTATTGAGTTCCTCTGCTCTCTATGTAGTATGGCAGCTTTATAAGGGTGTGTGGGGAGAAAGGTCGGGCAATTTCAAGTACCTGCAGCTGAGCAGCAGGTAAGTTCACATCTGCAACCATTTCTGTGCAGGGGTGCTCGACCTGCAGGCGGGGATTCAGCTCCAGGAAGTGGAAGCTCCCGTCCTCGCTATACAGGTACTCGACTGTCCCCGTGCTCACGTAACCCACCATCCTCGCGAGGCGCACGGCACACTGGGAAACGACACAAACCGTTTTTAGTGCTGGCTCCCGGTCACTCACTCTGCTTCTACCGCACACAGGCTTCTGACAGGCCTCTCCCTGCAACAGTCATCAAGCTGGGGAGAGAGAAAAAACTGAAGCAAACAGGAAAAACCCCCAATGCTTCAGTCCAAGAGGGAGGATCCATTTTGCCATTAAAAATGGAAGTGAGTGGGGAGTCCAATCTGCTGAGTTCTGGTTGCAACAGGTAATGCGCTGCGGAGAAGCACGGAAAGGGAACGCAGCGCAAGCTGGGAACTGGGGAACGAATGGAAGCCGCTGCCCCGTTAGCCAAGTCACAGACGTTCACCAGAACTAGCGCCCTCCAGCTCAGCTGGCCGCTACCTTCTTAGATGCCTAATCTGCGAAGGCAACACAGCACCATTGAAACCCTACGGCAACTGCATGGGACAGCGGGAGGTCACATATCCACTAGTTCAGGTCATCATAGCTCCCTGCCATTAAGATTCACTTGCAGGCTGAGCTGCTGGGGACTGTCTTTTTGGTTACTGTGCGTTAGGACCACCAACAGCCGGCCAGGTAGGGACCAAGAGAACTGTCACCCTGGCCACAGCCTGGCCAACAGTCTCCTGCTGGCAAGGTCTTTGTTCTGCTGTCTCAGGTACCCGGCTGAGGGAGCTGCTGTCTCCAGATTTGGTCCAGCTCCTCCTCTGCATTGTGGCAACAAGGCATTCAATAAGCCTGACTCTCTTGCTGCCATACTCGTCAACCAAGGAAATGAGAAAGGGAAGGACGCTGGGTGCCGGGGGAGGGGAAAGGAGTCCCCGGTGCCCTTCTCAAGAGCTGTGGCTTGGGGTGGCCCCAAAGTGACCTTGCTACCTCATTTCCAGGGTTGACAAACCTAGCACGAGAGGAAGTAGGTGGGGATTTTTGGCCGGGAGACTGAGCTCTCTCAGCCCCTGCAAGTGTAGATGTGCCCTGAAAGGCTGATCCAAATCCTCTAGCTAGTCTCCTGACACCATCTCCTGTCCCCACTTGCTCTTCAGTCTCCTGACTATTCCCTGCCTTCCACTCAACCTCTGGTCTCCTGACCCCAGTCCTTACCCTGCTCTTCAGTGTCCTGACCCTGGACCTAACCACTGGACTGGACTGCCCAAACCCAAGTCATTAAATTGTACGTCGACAGTGTAATAGCTGAGGTCCTGACTCCTCCATGCCACTGCAACACAGAGGCTATTCCTTTCTCTCCCGGGGAATGGAAAAGCAAGGCTGTCACGGCCCCAGGCTGAGAACGCCTGCACTGCGGAAGGGATACAAAAGTGCTCGCTAGAAGCTCAACAAAAGGCGAACATGAGAGTCTGCCTTCAGCTGTGAGGTGAAACCCAAGGGTGTGAACAACTCATGCAGGTGGCTTTGTCCATGTACACCTTGATCGTAAGCTCTCTGGGGCAGGGACTGGTCCCTTTGCTATTTGTTTGTACAGTGCCTCACTTGGTGGGACCCCTATCCCTAAGCTATGTCTCTGTGGCCTCTAGCATGAGCCCAGAAGCACCCCCAAGAAACAACTCTCACCTGCTGGTGCCTGTCCCAGGTGTGCCCACCCCCACACATTACGAAGCACAGATGGTCACGAAGGGGACTGAGCCCCTCCAAGCGGTCATCAGCGCACACCCAATGCTGTTCTCAGGCTCAGGCATTGCTTCGATACGAACCTGGCAAAGCTGGAAGAACCAGCAGCTGGAGGCTTCTTGCCACCAGCATCCCCTCTCCTCTGTCCTACCCCCAGACACCCACCTGTGCAAGAGATGCTGAACACCCACCTGCTCCATGAAGTCAAACACAGCAGGAGCAGCTATTGTGGCTGGAGCCTCTTCGATGATCTTCTGATGTCGGCGCTGGATGGAGCAGTCGCGGCCGAACAACGAAACCGCATTCCCGTACTGATCGGCGAGGACCTGGACCTCCAGGTGTCGCGCATGCTGTGCTAATTTCATCACGAAGATGGGGGACCCGATGGCCTCGCCCTGTACCTGGGAACGGAAGAGAAGACCCTGACTTTGAAAGGAACAGAAGAAATGCCCTCGCAAGTGGGATGAGGATGAGAAATATGCAGAAACCCATCCTCGGTGTGTGGGGGGGAAATTCACCCCCAGCCCAAGGGCAGACACTAGATTCCCACCCCCAGTGGTTACAAATCTGACTCAGGGTCCTGCCTCTTTTATATATTCAATGGTTTTGATTTTTTTTTTAAATATGAAGGAAAGTAACTATAAAGAGAATCTGCCCCTATCAAAGGGTCCCGATAAAACCAGTCAGATGAACAACAGGGGACTGGCATTCACATTTTAGAAAGCAGGACTGGAGACGCGGGGAAGACTCTGCTCAGAGCGCCTCATCTCCCTCAGGGGAAAGTTAAAGCAGGGTGTTTTTTAGGGACCGGGGTCCCCTCAGAGCCTCTTCCTTGTCTGAGGGGAAATTAAGACAGGCAGGATATTGGAAGGGACAAGGGAAAGCTTTACTTCTTTTCCTTCAAATGGGACAAAAGGCAGGACTGTTGTTTTGGTACAAGATACAAGTACAGCAGATGGATCGGGAATCCTCCCCAGTGCCTTTGACTTGTCTGGGAGGGTGGGATCTGGGAGCAGGGGGCAGGCACCTTCCTGGAGAACCCCTTACTTGTCTGAAGCGGCTGGCAAACTCCTCCGCAGTCTCTACTTTGCGAATCCCTTTGCCCCCGCCGCCTTCGGATGCTTTTATCATCACGGGGAAGCCGATCCTCTTGGCCACCTGAGGGAGGGGAAGGGGATGCAGCAAGCACTTTTGGGCACAGCTCCCCGAAGCACCTGGACTCACGACCAGCTTGCTCACCCCCTCCCTGGGCTGGATAGACCCCCAGAGAACACAGTGGGTGAGATTTCATTCAGTGGCCCCCTCTGAATGGAAACACTGGATGGAGCTGGTGGCAGGGACCCTGTACTCTGGAAGAACGCTATCGTTCCTTACTTGCAACACACACCAGTCGTCAGGCCCCTTAAGGAGCCCAGATAGGATAGAAACCATATGCACACCGACTGGAGCTGGGCCAGGGCCCTTCTTTACCTCCAGGCCATCGTCCACGTCCTTCACGCAGCCCTGTGCGTAAATCTCCAGGGGGACGCTGATGGTCCTCTGCTGCTCGTGATCCTCCTTGCTCCACTCTGCCACCAGACCTGCACGTGCAGAGCAGAGGGGCTGCACCCAGATCTACAGGAACAGGACAACCCCATGCCCTCACCACTGCCAACAGCTGCGTTGGTGCACTGAAGCCCCTTTGCTTCCCCAGAGCTGTATGCCCACGACAGCAGCCTACTGAAAAGCAGGCCAAGCCTGCTGCTATCTGCATGTGTCATAGAGGACTCGGTGGGGTTCCCCTTGTATTCTCCAGGCACCCCCCTCACATGGGGGAGCTGCCCCGAGTCAGGGCAAACACACTGAGACTGCTCCACATTGGTCCTATCCCCACTCTTCAGTGCACACAGAGACAGGCGTGCACAAACGGGGCTCTGGTAGCGCCTCTGCTGAGATGGAACAGGGCATCTCATGCTGGTACAAACCCCAAATCCTTACATCAAACCTTAGAAATGTCGACCTGTTAAAAGCGTCAGGGGGCTGTTGGCTTGGCCCCATTTGGATGATAACACTTGGGCGTTCGCTCCATCCCCCGCAACCTGCTTGTGCTGGGACAGTGCGTAACAGCCTGGCTCAAGCATTGACCTGTGGCAGGCCAAGGGGCAAAGCAAGACAGATAGGAACAGAAGGGAACAAGGAAGCCATAGAGGTGACAGTGATGAGATGAGAGCAGCGCAGGGAGGGGTGGAGGGAAAATAAAAGGATGACAAGTGACTGGAGGGTAAAGTGACAGTGAAAAGGCCAACAGAAGAGAGGCATGAAGACGAGGAGAGCTGGAAAGAAGGGAGGGCAACAATAGTGGGGTGCCGGGCAAGCCAGCTGACAACAGCAGGCAAGTTCTTTCCAGCACAGAGGCAAATTAGGAACAGCACTCCCATGAATGACCCGACCGCTCCAGCTGCTAAGATCCCTGCTCCTCCCTTCTCCAGTCACTCTGACACACAAAGCAAGACAGACAAAATTGGCCTGTGCCATGTCCAAGCAAAGCACCGCTTAGGCCGAAGGTGCGCTTACCGCTTCCACTCCACGGTAATGTGGGGATCTGAACTGTCTGTGCTATGATGGTGGAAGCCACTTTATCTCCCAAGGCCCACATGGCATCACTGGGAGGACCTGAGCACCGGCAGGGAATAAGACGGGGGTTAGTCAGGGAGGATATCCCATTACCTCTGGAAGTCATGTAGCATCGCTGATCCCCTTTCTAAGGGAGGGACAGAACCTTCCCAGCTTATTAACTCATCAGATGTGTGAGGTTAAAGAACCGCTTTCCAGAAGGGTGGCAGGGACAAAAAGTCTCCTCAGCTTTATGAAGGGAAGTGCATGAAACAGATGCCTGCAACGCTGGGGCTATGGACTGGATTACCTGCCAGGTCCCTTCCAGGCCGATGCTCTTAAATGCAAAGGCACCATTTTTACATGGGAAACCCAAAAAGAGTGGAAGCCACATGGGAAGTTTCCATAAAGCTGGCTTGAGAGCCTCTATGCTTTAAGGCTGGTGTAAGGACCAATACTACACGCCATGCATTAAGACGTGTAAAACGGAGTGGCATCTAAAAACCAAGAATACAAGTGTTTCAGGTTGCAGATATGCAGTGAATAATTCTGAGGTATGCTGCTTACACATGCATTCGTGTTTCCCTAGGGCGGCCTAACTATCTTCCTCTTTCATCTGGATCAATTGCTAAAGACAAGCTGTGGTCGTTTGCATCATATATGTATTTGTACATGACACGTTGTGCAATAGAAGATGTGCCTTATGTTTTAGGGCCTACATAGTTAACAAGTCATCAGCTGGTGTGTTAACAGTAGATGGGTTGATTAGCTGGTTCCTGCTAAGAAGCCCTGTTGAAAGCAGTGTAAGTCCTTGCCTGAATAACTATCCCACCCGCTGCTGTTTCACAGGCTAACCAGCCTCTGTCCCTCAGACAGAGATTAGCCTTTGCTCAAGTGAAATTTCTCTGCTTACTCTCACAGGTTCTTTGTACCTGGATCTGTGTTTACTCATATAGATAAGACTAGAACCAGGACTTGCCCTTTCTTCCTATTCTTACTTCTCTACCTTACTCATTCCCAGAATAAAAAGGAAAATATAAGTGTTTCGGTATCCAAAGTTATCCTTCTTTCCTATGCAAGAGGAAGACAGTGTCTCAGAGAGACAGTCAGGGACAGATGCTGTCAACAACGTCGCTGTGACAAAACTGGCTGGAACATAAAGCACATCTTATATCAGACAGCATATTGACAGAGACCACGCATGAAGAGCTAGTGCAGTCTGGGGAGATAGCAGGTATACGTAATGCACCCCCAATTAATCCCTGCATATCTATGTACCCTGCAACTACAGACACAACCATTCGCTGGATGTACATTACAGTGGATTTCCATTAGCTTCCTTATGCAGAAGGCCAAACTGTGAAGATGTAGAGAGCCTCACCGAGGAAAGCCACCCCATTTTTCTGCAGCAGCTCTGGAAGCTTAGGATTCTCTGAAGCATGTCCCCAGCCAGCCCACACCGCCTGGGATGGAAGAAGGAGGGAGTAGGAGAGGTCAGCTGTACAACACAGGCACCCTCATGACTTTGATTCCCAGTATCCTGCACTGCTCTCCAAGGAAGACCAGCTCAAAGCACCATTGCATTTAGTCTCACCAACTCTGCAGCTCACACCTGCTTCTGAACACCTCTTATCCCTGTCCAAGTGCCTCCCTTGCCACTGGCTGCAGGGATCTTAAAGACCCGTGAAGCAGTTATCCCAGAGACCACCCTGCCCCTCTACCCCAGCAGGGAGATGACTATTTCCATGTCTCCTTATTTTCAGTTCCTTGAAGGATTGAGCCTTCATTTCAAAAAAGGACCATCTATCTTTGTGCTGCTCCTCTGCACGGCAGCTCATGATGGCAGCAGAGCCTAAGGCAAAGGGTTAGCGCGTGACTACAAAGGTCATCAGAAAAAAAAAGGAAGGGTGGACTGTTTATCAGTAACTGGCAGCGTCCGGCACTCTGGCACGAGGCTGACACAGACCAACCATGTGGGACTGCTGTACCCATGGGTCTGGGACAATGAAGAGGGAAATCCTCACCTCTCTAACACGCTCTTATTGCCCAATGGAGCCAATGGGCATGTTTCCATCAGTTCCCAGAACTGTTTAGCCTGGTGAACCCCCGCTCTCCTCCCCCAGAAGCACCTGCCTCCTATAAGGAAACCATTTTAGGCCTTCAAAGTGGTTCCCAGTCTTCACGTTTCTAATGGTTTTCACCTGCACTGGAATTCTCTTGGCAATGTCCACAATGAGTTCTACATTGGCGTAGTTGTTGTTGTTGGCTCCCCCGGGGACAGGCACGTAGTGATCAGCCATTTTGATGTACTCTGGAAAAGCAAAGGATGGGGTGTCCTGGTGGAGCAAGAAGAGCAGCGGACTCCTGTGCAGCAAGACTCTCTGCCAGCCCCTCGGCTCTCGCTATGCTGCTCACGCAGGGTACTGCAATCACGACAGGTCTGCACCCCACCCTGCAGGCTGAAAAATAACCACCATCCCACAACCCAAGGAGGGCTGAAAGAGGCAGTGAGTCTAGTGAGTCTGTACGGTCATCACTCAGGTCATGATTGCAGGCTCTTGAGGAGAATACCGCATTCTCTCACATATAACGCACCCTTTTTTCCAAAACCCAGCTGCTGGAAATTAGGGGGCGCATTATAAGCCAGGAAATGTAGTAATGTGGGAAAGCAAAAGGAGAGGCTGAACAGGGAGTAGAGCAATGAGGCAGCCTGGACCTACTAGCTGCTGCTCAGTTACTCAGTACAAGGACAGGTCTTTCTTTCTTCATTCTGCCTTTCAAAAGCAAGATGCGTCTCTCATTCCAGGGCATGTTGTATATGAGAAAATATGGCATATAACAACTTCCCAGGAAAGCAAGGCAGGAAGAGGGGAGAAGAGCTAGTGCCTATGCCTCCCAGGAGGTATTTGTGACCATCAAGAAGGGAAAAACCAGTGTGAACAGTTGGGAAGATTTGATGAATCTCACACTCACCTGCATTTGCCTTAAGGTCTTCAGGTGTAACCATGACAACAAACCTAATCGCTCGCTCATTCCGAAACATTTCGTAGGCCCACCGGCGGATGGAGCGCATGCACTTGACAGCAGCAATGCCATTGTTTGCAATCAGGACCTGGAGGAAAGGCACGGGAGACTGAGATGTAGGCACTTGCAGCAGAGCAGGCTCAAACCTGTAACTCCTCACCGCTGCAGAAAACCCAAGCCAGGGAACATGCTGTCTTTGGAATCTAGCTTAATGTTCATACATTGAATTGCAAAAAAGCCACGGTTTTCCACAACATATCAGTTATCGCCAGGCAAGATGTCAAGATGACCAGCTGTAGGTCACTGGAAAGGGATGGGGAAATGAGACACAAGTTGTTAATGCACACACACTAGTATTACTGACATGGAGGTTCTGTGCTTGTAGGGAA